GAAAGGCTTCTGTAAATCTGGAACTATCCCTGGAAAATAGGAACACTTGCAGGATGTGCAGTCACAAAACTCTTAACTCTAACCTCTGTCACTTAAGCTGTGGCTTTATCTATTGAGCGTCAGGCACCAAACATTTGCTGTTTCACACCAGGTTCCTTTGATCTTAATGGACCATCTTCCAGGCTATCACCTCAACAATCAGTGCTAGCCTAGCTTAATTAGCATTTAACACTTGCTAATTACAGGATTTAGAAGTGTCTAGCACACTTCTAAATACACACCCAGTTTTAACACCTCATGCCTTAATTAATTCTAACACTAGCTTGCTCTGAAGATTATAGTGGTCTAGCACCCAAAAACTCATAACAAATATATGTATGGAGGTGGGACAAGAAACTCCTATTCATAGTGCCCAATTATTAGGGCACATGGTGCCTCTTCATTGTGTAAAGGTAAAGAGACCCCTGACCATTAGGTCCAGTTGTGACCGACTCTGGGGTTGCGGCACTCATCTCGCTTTATTGGCCGAGGGAGCCGGCGGACAGCTTCTGGGTCATGTGGCCAGCATGACTAAGCCGCTTCTGGCGAACCAGAGCAGCGCACGGAAATGCCATTTACCTTCCCGCCAGAGCAGTACCTATTTATCTACTTGCACTTTGATGTGCTTTCGAACTGCTAGGTTGGCAGGAGCAGGCACCAAACAACGGGAGCTCACCCCGTCATGGGGATTCGAACTGCCGACCTTCTGATCAACAAGTCCTAGGCTCTGTGGTTTAACCTACAGCGCCACCCGTGTCCCCTTCATTGTGTAATTATACCTTAATCTCAGGTGCTCCCCACCAAACACTAAGTCATCAGAAATAAAAATACACCCTATTGCATCTTCATTACTCATCAGTTTTCAGAGTATTACAACACAATCCTAAGAATGGAAGTCACTTCTATATTTCTTACAGGTATTTCAGGTTAAGACTGGAGCCTTATTCTGCCTGGTGTATCTTTCAGCCTCATGATGGAAGTGCTGCTGATGTAGACCTGAATATAGGACATCTAAACATCATTGATGGTCATTGACATGAAGGCCACACATATGTTTGCCTTCACATATATAGCAAATGTGTGGATGTAGAAGTAGAACCATGGCTGCTGGCCACACCCCTGATGTTGCAGGCACATCTTTGATATCACTGCATTTGGCATTGTCTTTAAAAAAAAGAAGTCTATGTGTGCAATCAGAATTCTTAAATATTTTTAAACCTACACATTCAGGCTCTCATTTTCAGAAGCTGGGGGTTTGTTTGTTTTTGACAAACAAGCCACAAAAAGCATCAGCATTGTCCTGCACCCTTAATCCAAGAGCATACATATGCAAGCAAATTATCTCTACAGTCCTATAATGATTCTAGAAGGTGGCAAATCATAAGGCTGTTCATATACATTCTTCCAAGACAACAGGGCACGTCATCCACAACAGGATATGCCCTTGACGACTATGTAATCCCTACAAGATGTTCAATAACTTTGGTTGTGCATGTGTTATAGAAAGAACCAAAAGTGAGTAGTCAGAGGCTTATCATCTTGTAATGAAAACTGTTCAGTTATGCAGGTGAATGCAGAAAATGAAATTTGTGTAATTGTTATCCTCCAATACAATGCAGATGCAAATAGTCCCCTTTTAACTTTGGCTTCAGCACACCCTATATGAATCCATGGCAACTCCTCCTCTTTAATTATCTCCTCAAACCTTTCTTTAAGCACTTTAAGTGAGGTGAGATGGATGCCACGAAGGGAAAGAGCTTTTTTCCCCTTTCCCTTTTTCTTTTTTGCTTTGGTGCCCCAGTTATGAGATCCAGCTCAATTACTGTATTATCATTGTTCAGTTGCCAGGCGTTTTATTCACCCAGGTATTTTAAATTGCATAGGTTGCTACTGATAATTCTTCATGCGTTTCTGTCCTTTTGGTTGCTGGATGGCATTGTATTACTATGCTTTTATGCTGTTGCAAAGCACCTTGAACTGTAGTAAACAAACAAATACATTTTGCCAGTGGTTCCCAAACTCCCCCCCCCGCCCCCGCCCCCGCTGCCACCAACACTACTTGAAAATTGCTGAGGGTCTTAGCGTACCACTTAATGATTTTTCTGCCTTTTGTAGCAATTGCAATGCACCTTGCTAGACAGGGATAGCCTAACTTCTGTCATCTATGCTCTGGTAGCCTATAGGTTAGATTGCTGCAATGCATTATACATAGGGCTGCCTCTGTAGGATGGTTTAGAAACTTTGGCTGGTGCAGACTTGGTAACCAGGTTGTTCACCAGGACAAAACAGTTTGAGCGTATTACACCAATTCTGGCCTGATTGTACTGGCTTTGCCTGGCGCCTTCATTACATATCTTTTGACACCAGGCAAAAATGTTTCTCTACAACCAGGTCTTTGGCCAATTGACATTTTGTGGGCTTTTAGATGTTTTTTGTTGGAAGGGGGTTATTGGTTTTGTTTGTTTGTTTTATTGTGTATTTTGTTGTGAACTGCCCTAAGATCTTAAAAATTGAATGAATAAATGAATGACAACACAAATTGTATAAAATTCTGGGACATATCCTGGAGTGCCGTTTTAGTACAGTACATTGGCCAATATGCCAGGCCTGAACACAGTTCAACTTTTTGTTTCTGTTGTTAGTCATGAGATTTCTTCCAAGTGCGTTTTTCTCACAGATGCAATTCTTCCTTTCCAAAATAGCTTCTCAATTAAATTGACATCTAGTATATCTCTAACGCTTTAGTCGGTTCACACTCAGCCATATAATCTTTGCAGAGTGATAAGCTATGATTGCTGATTCAGAACTTATATCATTCTTGGGCTTATTCTCTCTTGCCATATATTATTAACGAAGTTGCAGGAGTCTTTAATTCGGCTCTTGATAACATTAATGACCCTCTATGGATCACAGTGTTACAGTGTGTGTTTTAGGTCACTTTGATGCATAGCTGATATTACAAAGTGAGCAGGGTTGGAGGCTTTTATGGCAATAAAAGGCTTTATAAGACCTTTTCAGAGACATAATTCCAGTGATTTTCATGGGGCTTGCAACTGGAGCCTGAATTTTAATTGTGTTTCCTATATTGACTGTTTTAGTTCAGGGACATATTCCTTTGATAGATTGCAGCAGCAAAGCTAGTCAGTTTGCTGAGGGTCTGGGTTTAAATTAAAGAAGGGTGATCAACATGGTGCCTTCCAGGTTTCATTGGAGTCTAATTCCTAGCATGCCTAATCTTGGGCCATGCTGGCTGGGGCTGCTGGAAGCCACAGCTGGAGATTGCCACAGATCATTTTTCATGCTCAGGTATCTTGACTAAGTTCCCCACACCACCACCATAGCGTTATATTCCTTCTCAGTCTTCTAACACTCCCCTGTCCTTAAAGTGAGGAGTATACTATGCCAGCCCTGGATCTGTCAGTCACTTTTGTTTCTGTTATGTCCTGAGCTGAATCCTAGAAAAATAGGATCCGGAATGCAGCAGTCTGATTGGTCTGCAGGAGCCACCCAATCCCGCTCCAGGTGGAAGTGAATCAGCAACCTGACTGGCCTACAGGGAGCAGCCAATCAGGCTTCTGGAAGAAGTGAATCCGCAACCTGATTGGCCTACAGGAGCAGCCTGGAATTAGCCAATCACGCGGGGCCCATTGTGTAAATAATGTATATATAGCTAGACGTTCTGGGGAAAGTTTCATTCATTGCTACTACGTCCTGAATAAAGAGCATGAAATTCATACCCGACTCCGAGTATATTTCACTTTCCTTCCCGTTGTCTCTGTTCTTGGGGACACAGTTAAGAAAAGGATGGAGGAGGAATGCACAAGTTCATTTCCACTCTCCCTTCTGCCCTGCTGGTGAGAGCCTAGCAGGTTGTGAGGTGTTATGGGCACTTCACATGCCTTTGCCAATCCTACCTCACCCTCCTATAGAACTTCAACCAGGGCCAGGCCATCCATGAGGCAGACTGAGGCAGCTGTCTTGAGTGGCAGACTCCTATGGGGCAGCACCTCCATGAGGCCCCCACCTGCCGGTCCCAGAGAAGCAAGGAGATGGGGCAGCAGATTCGGGGGAAGGGGGACGGGACACCTTCCCATTTCACCTCAGGCAGTGAAATAGGATTGACCACCCTGATTGCAGCCTTAGCAAGTTTGGGGTTGGTTTTTTTTCCTCCTTAGGAAAGTTAAGAGGAATTATTGCTCTTTGATATTTCTGGCCTGCGTAAGAAGCTGTTTGCTTTTCAGAGGTTACACGAGGAAGGTTGGAAGGAGTGCACAGAATGTTAAGTGGATCTCCAGGGCAAAAGGCAGGATTTTACATGGCTTTAATTAAGTACACTAACACCATAGGGCACAAATAACTTTTCCCAGCAGATGGTTTATTTCTGTTTATTTTGAACTATATTCCAGCATTTTATGTAATTAAAAGGTACTAGCTGCTGTGGATTATTTGCCTTAAAGATTGCTTAACTTCGTAACATGCAATATTTTAAAAGGCACTCGCAACTGAGTGATGGGGAAATATAAGTCAATTACTGAGGAAATGGAGGTCGTTGTGGATTTCTTGTGGATATTTGTTTTCATCTAAATAGACCCAGGGCCAGTTCTTGGAATCATCTTGATGTGATGAGACATCTGGTAAATGCTTGCCTTTTTCGCTGAACGTATTTTTTCACCATGCACCCTGTTTTGTTTTGTTCCTTTAAGTTTGCTGACAGCCCAATAGCTGGCATGGCTGGCCTATTTTAAAGTTAGGAATTTTTGTGTTCTAGGCAGCCACTCAAGTGTCATTCCAGCTTGTTGAAGACTCCAGCAGAGGGTATATTTGCCCACTATCACACATTCCCAAGGATCACACAAACACACATATGCACACACTTGAAACTATCTAATATTTAGACATTCCATTGGTCCATGTAGCTTGGTATTGTCTCCACAAATTGGCAGAAGCTCTCCAGGGTTTTAGGCAGACAGATCTCCTGCCCTTCATTGGGATTGAACCTGGGATCTTCTGCATGCAAGGCAGATGTTCTTCCACCACAGCCCTTCCCTGAGAAGGACAAAAGTTTATGTCATATGGTTTTATGTACCTTCCTCAGTACATAGCCTCTAACTTCATACTCCACCCAGATCTGCCTCTGGACAACACAACTGCTTGACCGCCTCACAGATTACTCTCCATTCTCCATTTTGAGTTCAACCCTTCCTTAAAAGTTCACACCACTAATTCTAGTTAGTGGGGCCAAACTAGATATTTTAGAAGCGAACCCATAGATCTTAGAACCTTGAAAGAAAAAAAAGGGAAAAGCTAAGTCAACATGAGTAAGCACAGGAATATTGTGAGTACAAGTCTAGCTTCATGTCACTTCCCTAATGGAAGAAATTATCTTCATCATAGCTGCACAGCTCTCAAAGTAATTTTCTCTGAGTTCTGTCACAGGGTGGGCCATTGACATTACTTTGGACTAACTAACAGATGTGTTCCATTTCTTTTAGGAAACAAAATGTTTTTCAAAATATTTATAGATGGCTGAACATAACCAAATATCATAGCTGGGTACTATAAGAACAAATTGAAATAAATGGGGAAATGATTTTTTTTCCCCAAAAGGGAATCTGATATTACCTGGATTTATCCATCTGTAAAGGCCTGCAGACAAAGGAGTTTTTACCATCTGGCCAAGAAGGGTTTGCTCAACTTCAGTCAACAGTGTGCTCTGCAAAGCAAGTACAGAATATATTGTAGGACTATGAATTCTAGGTCTACCTGTGTGCTAATATAGCACAAAAAAACAGGCTTAGGTTTTGAACAAAAACAAGTGCTGGGGTCAGTCACAAGTATGAGCCATACAGAGAGAACTAAACAGAACTTGTAATTTTAGTTCTAAAACATAAAATGAACACAGCCGTAATAAAATCTTCAGACAGCTCAGGTGCATTTCCGTTTGTGTTGTTGTTGTCGCAGTGTATAATTTCAGGGTCATAAAGCTGATCTTTGTGTCAATGCCATGGAAACCTGGCAATGTTTCAGTTTTTTACTTCCTAACCCAATAAATGGTAAATAAACATCTCAGCTGCAATTCTCAAACCACTCTTTTATTATTTTGCAATCCCATTCTAAAGTAGTTTAAGTGATTTTGCTATGAATCACACTGGAGAAAGTGCTCTGAGCCTTTGGATTTCATCCTGATGATCTTCACTGCAAAGGTAGTGCAAACAGCATTTATTTCAATCTGGTGCAGAGAAATACAGATTCACCTACTGGTCAAATTAAGAGGGAGCAAGAGTTCCTTTCTTAGTTGTGTGGTGCAAATCAGGGATGGGAAACCTTTAGCCCTCCAGATTTTGTTGGATTCTTGATTCCATCAGCCCCAAAGCCAATCTCAAGGATCATGGGAATCCAACAACCTCTAGAGGCCCACAGGTTCCCCATCCCTGATGTAAATGAAACACCAATGGCAAGATGTATTCTTTGCACCAGTGGTTTGATTGTGCAAGATTCTAAATCATGCAGAGAGACAACTCCCTGCTGCAGCCATTTATTGTCAAATGTGTGCAGGGATATGGGGATGTAACGTTAAGAATGTGATAGAGGAGGTAGGGCCAGTGAGAGCATTTCTTCTGCTACCCAATCGAATGATTGGATTTGCAAAAGGGGGGGATGTCCAAATAGTGATATTGCTAACTGCCTGGCTGAGATTGTTATAGAGTTTGGGGGTGCAAGGGAACCCTTAACTGCTAGAGTTAGTGCATATTAGAAATTAATACACGGTAGAATTCAGATAACATGTGAAGTTTTGAATGGAAGATGCCAGGACAGTGAAAAATACAGGCTAGAGCCTCACTTGGGATAGAAGTCATTAAGAATGATAGAAGGTGTTGGAAGCAAGCCACTAGCTCATCAATGAAAGCCATCATCAAGCCAAGAGATTCTCTGTCGGTGAATAGAGGGGTGGTTCAGTTCCCATGGTTCCCATGGCCAGAGAAAGGTTTAGGATTGTAGATTCCATGATGTATGAAAAATTGGGAGGGGCCAGCTGTGCCCACAAGAAAAAAAGGTGTCATTGGGTTTTTTTCTGGCATGGGTCTTTGAAGAGGAGAAGGATGGAGCCAGAACTCCAGGCTAAGGCCATGTGGGGCAGATCTATCTTGGCAGGCTGGGACAAGAGCTGTGGAGGTGGCGTACCTTGCACCCCAATGCTGTGCTGCTATGGGGAACAAGCTGCTCTGGAGATCTAATGCTCTGAACTCTCTCCATTGAAGTCTGTAGGTGTAGATATCTGTAAATAAACCAGATTTCTTAAAGACACTAGTCTCCACTGTGCTTTGATTTTCCAACAGAAATGCAATCCTGGGGGAGTGCCTGGAACCTCTGGAATCTCATGTGGAGATTGGAGTTTGTGCTCATTTAGTTTATATGTTTCAAATCACGGGCAACCAGGGAAGCATCCTCCAGATATATTGAACTACAATTCCCATCAGCCTGAGCCAGCATGATCAATGGTCAAGGTTCTTTTAATGCGCTGTTAATTGTTGAATTATCAACAATTAAACTGTATGGTGTTGTGGTAGGTCTGTTGTTACAGGGCAGTGGTGGTGAACCTTTTAGAGACCGAGTGCCCAAACTGCAAACCAAAACCCACTTATTTATCACAAAGTGCCCAGAGTTGTTGAGCTTTTCATTGAGTTTTGGGGGGAGAGAGAGAACAGAAATAAATGACGAATAATACCTTTGCTGGAACTAACATGCAGCACCGACATCATCGTCTGCCAAAGTGCCAAAAATACTAGCACAATAAGGGTTAAAAAATGAAGGCTGTTACACCCAATCAGAAACAGCCACTGAAGTAACAAATTGAAAAACAGACCAATCACCGAACACAATCTCTGGCTAACAGTGGGGGGGGGCAGGTTCTGTGTTTCAACAGGAGACACAAGCTGTAGCACAGATAGGCTGATGGCGCATGTGCCAGCAGTGAGGGCTCTGTGTCCAAGTCTGGCACATGTGCCATAGGTTCGCCACCACTGTTATAGGGCCTGGGAGACTTAGGTTCAACTCCCCATTTAGTCATAAAGGCCAGCCTAACCTACCACACAGGGTGGTTGTAAGGATTAGAATGAGGAGGAGGAGATTAGAACAGTAAACAAATAATTTAAAATACCGAATTTTTATTTATTGTGGATTTTTAAATCACATTGTCTGTTCTGTGAACTGCTTTGGAAAATGTACTATATAAATTAACAACTGACTCACAGCAATCTATTTAGCAGCTCGGATAGTTATTATGTGGGCACAATGTTGAGATTATTGGAATTAGAGATTGTTCATTAAGCTGTTGTATTCTTTCTGTTTATTAAAGCTTTGGATTGTTAAACAGTAAATTGCTAAACTGTCAATTGTATTTTAATGCATTAATTTATTGTAATGCATAAGATTTTTTTATTATGTATTGTGATTACGATGGTTAGCAAAATTCACTGTTATTGTATTTAGTTTACTGTCACTTTATTTTTCTATTGTGTGAAATGTGGTATACATAAAGAATCCCCACTTACCTAGGAACATGCCACATTGAATTCAACAGGACTTCTGAATGTGCATGGTTTGGATTGTGTCGTATGTCCACGAAAGGAGGCCTAGGATTCATTTTCAACAACTGTCATTCTGTTGTGTGGGACAAAGCAAATAGATTTCAGTCTAAGACCACAGATGGGACTAGCACTAACAGCCAAGCAGCAGTTTCAGTTCCCACCACAGTCATATCCTTGAGTGCACTCCTTTACTTTGCTTCACATAAATGAATGCTTGCTTATGGTTTACCACTATAGAGAAAAGCAAAGTAGGGCATTGCTGCAGTGAGGACAGAACTTACCCTCCAGTTGTGATGCTGTGTAGTCTGGTCCCTGTTAAGAGGAGCCCTGGAGGTGAGTGCAACACACCCTGAATTTAATTCCCAGAGGCTGTTGAATCTACAGATGTACATCCCGAACATCATAATAACAAATATTTTGATGGCTGTTTCTTCGATGTATCACTGAATTCTTTTTAAAGACAATTAGCATTGCTTTCCTTTGAACCACATCAGCAAAGCTGGGAGCAGGGACTCAGGACCTCCATACATGTGGCCCCAGGGAGGTCACTTCAGTGCTGCTTATGCAGTGGTTTGACTTCACCCCTGGAGGTGAACTCCACTGTCTCTTGAGACAGACAGATGTGAACAACAAAGCATATGACACATCATATGTTCTCAGTGTGCCATCAGTTTTATGGGAGTGTTTAATGCATGGCGTAAAGTTATCTTAACATCAGAAAAAAGCAAGCCTTGATTAAAACAAAAACAAAAAGCAGTCCCCAATCCAAATGGTGCTTTTGGATGGCTTCCATTGTTGAAGTCAAACACCTAATTATGCTTGGTTTCTTTAGTCCAACTCATAGATTGCTGCTTGTAAGCAAAGAAATTTGTTTTCCTTATCCCATCTGGAATTAAGTAACATATGTTTCAGTCTGTATCTCAAAAAGATGATTGGTTGGGCAGTTACTTTACTGACAGCTGTTACCTGAGGCTATATATGAACTAATTATCCTCCAACAAATGATAACCGCAAGCATCAAGTATATCTGGTAGTGTCTTCAGTAAGTTCTCCAAAGGCACACTATACTGAAGAATAAAGGAAAAGTACTGCACTGTGGGGGATGCGGGTGGCGCTGTGGGTAAAACCTCAGTGCCTAGGACTTTCCGATCGTATGGTCGGCGGTTTGAATCCCGGCGGCGGGGTGAGCTCCCGTCTTTCAGTCCCAGCTCCTGCCCACCTAGCAGTTCGAAAGCACCCCTAAGTGCAAGTAGATAAATAGGTACCGCTTTATAGCAGGAAGGAAAACGGCGTTTCCGTGTGCTGCGCTGGTGCTGGCTCGCCAGAGCAGCTTTGTCACGCTGGCCACGTGACCTGGAAGTGTCTGCGGACAGCGCTGGCCCCCGGCCTCTTAAGTGAGATGGGCGCACAACCCTAGAGTCGGACACGACTGGCCCGTACGGGCAGGGGTACCTTTACCTTTACCTTTACTGCACTGTGGTATTTTTACAGTTGGACATTGTGATGCAGGGACAGGAAGACATGCACAACTGACTTGAACATCTGTGTTTCACTTCAGGTTTAAATGTCCCCAGAGCTAAGGCAGAATCTGTGTTTGTCCACAGAGATCTATATGGATTTTAAAAGCATCACATGCTCATTTCTGAAAAAGCAAGGGTCTCAAATGTGTGGGGAAGCCACAGTTGTACAGATGAAGGCTCTTTCTGGATCTTCTTATGAGCCAGTGGAAGTGGAGTGTGCATTATGCTGCTCCCCCACTGCAGTCGTAAAGTCTCTGAAAGGGGCTAGGCCTTTTCTATATGCAACCTAATAATAAAGCTTACCTGCAGCTTACAGCAGGCTGGTAGCCCAAGACGGTGCATATTTACTCAGGATTCAAATGCCTTAGTGACAGGAACCTATAGGTTTGCTTGTGAAATTTGGCAGAATGTCATGTATATTTCTGGAGCTGAATAAATAAGAGTAAGTCTCACTGGATTCAGAGATGTTAATTCCCTTTGAGGAGGAAGGGTCCTAGCTGAGTGGTAAACCATGATTTGCCTGCAGGTGGCCCCACGCTCAGTTGCTGGCCTGTGCAGTCAGGGCTAAGAGAAACTCATACCAGGCACCCTGAAGAGCGTTTCCCAGTCACTGACCAATGACTAATATGGTATAAGGGCTGTTTAAGATGATCTGTTTGTTGGGCATTCATTCTGATTTGTTTGCACAAAACTTATGCCAAGGTTCGACTATGTCTGGGCTTGGTTCAGCATTCATTCTGATGTTTTTGAGGAGGTTCTGCAACAATGCTCATTCATAATGCTTTGCTTGTGCTGTGTTTATACATTTCCTGTTGATCATTCATTCATCCCACATTTTTGATGCATTACCTCATCACATTACTAGATGTAAAAAAAGAAAGAGGCCCATTTTAAAAGTGCATTTATTGCATTAGACCAGGCTTCCCCAACCTTGGCCCTCCAGATGTTTTTGGCCTACAACTCCCAGGATCCCTAGCTAGCAGGACCAGTGGTCAGGGATGATGAGAATTGTAGTCTCAAAACATCTGGAGGGCCAAGGTTGAGGAAGCCTGCATTAGACAGAGCACTTTAACTCACTTTACGTGTGCAAACCTAGATGTCTGGTATGTGATTGAATCCCTTCCCCAAATAGTGACAGTCTGAAGGTGACAAAAGGTAGCAACCTGTGTCCCTATGTTCTGAGTGTGCATAGGGTTTCAGCCTGAGGATGCAGTCCTGAACTGGACACAGTGGGCCTTTCTTCAATGTAAGAAAGATGCACAAAAATTCAGCCCCACATGGCAATCATATAATTAAATTATGTCAGTTGGATAAGGCAGTTAGGAGTTACAGTGCCATAACTTGATCTGTACCAATAAGTGTCAAGTTGAAGTGGAAAGAAATGTGTGGAGTTGGGACATGATGTAGGAAGAGTGGAAGAAAGTCCAGTTTAGTCCAGATCCTATGGTGCTGGAGATCCATATAGACCATCTTGGACTCATTGGCAGAAAGGTGAGATATAAATGTAATAAATCATCATCACACTTATGAAAGAGTAAGCCCCTTTGTATTGCAATGGTACTCGTTTCTAAATAGATGTGCACAGCAAGTTTTTGAGCATCAGATATTTTTAGGATCCAGTTGAAAGAAGTATTCAGAGGTGCATTGGCAGGGTAGATGGCCATATCATATAAATAGTAATGATGCCTTTTAAAGTAAAGAAAGGAGATGTTTACCAGAATATTGATAGCTTATTAATCATCCACTATTTGCTGCCAGCATTGCTCCCTACAGATCATATAAGGTTTTCTCATCTGCTGTTAGATACAGGGCCATCTGTTTCTGAGCATGTACTGTTTTAATTATCTCAAGGCTTGGCTACTTGGCAAATGCATCTATCTTGTGGGGCTCCTGCAGTTTACAGATTGATGCTTGGATACCATATGGGAGTTGTGACTTGAACTTTCATTTATAAGAGCCCACAGGTGTGTAAATACATTTATCCTGGTTGTTCAGGATTCCCAATCACATGGAGTGCCTAGGAACACACAGCCATATGTGCATGGGTTTAGTTTTCAGAATGCACAAACACTGGAGATGGCTCAATGGGGTACATGATGACTGGGGCGAAAGAGTGGGTGTGGTCCCATTTCTCCCCACACCCATTAGATCACTGAATGCATAGGGGAGGATCATGAGTATAGTCCTCAGGGTGGTAACACAAGTTTAGATCTCGGCTATGTGAGAAAGACTGGAACAAAAACACCAGAAAATGTGAATTTTACAACTAGTGGTCTAAAACAGTCAAATTATACCATGGGTGGTCTCTGCGGCTGCTGCAACAATTTAAAGAAACACTTTTGGTTGTGAAAAATAACCAGATAACCATGTTCCTTAACTACACCACATATTCCTGACCCAAGAGGGGAAAGAACCATGAAGTATTATGGGAAGGAACGTGGTTAAAATTGTTCTTGTTGTCAACTCTGACGCAGTAATATAAGGTTAAATAGGCTCTTCTAAGGCAATTGTTTAGATTTTTCAACTCTTAAAGCACACTATTATATGTATATGTATAATAATGTGTGTCTGAGTGCATATAATAGGCAGAAAGCATTCATTTTAGCAGAACTGGTATTTTTTTTAAAAAAAAATGCTTCTCAGTGAGATCAAGGAGATGAGAATTAGATGGAAAATCAGTGTAGATAAGCCCACCAATGAGATCTGCAAAAAAATATAAATCCATCCTTAGGCAATACAATATTGGAAGTTTTATTTTCCAACTATTTCCTAAGGATTCCTAACTTGGATTCCCTGTCCCCCATATCTGCCATACACTAGTCAATGTTTTAATTATGCTATCCACCATGACCATGAGACCCCTTTCCTGGTCAGCAACTGTTAGCTCAGACCCAGTTCGGACATCATGAAAAACTCCTGATGAGGTGATCTAGAAGTTCTAGCCCAGTGTCTCTTCAAGGTTCTGCCTATTTGATCTTTAGATATTGGGCTGCATGACATCATATTAAGATCCAGCTGGTCCTTTTTAATGGAGCAAGCACATGGTCCTATTCTGTCATGAACCTCCGAACTATCCCCCTTTTTAGTAGTGCCCCAACACCACAGAAAAATGAACATATGACCTGGATCTTTAACTAGATTTGGTCTCTAACTAGACAGATTTGCAAAGCCTTTAGCTGCCATATCTATTTAGAATATAGAAAAAGGTCAGCATAGATTGAAGCCTTAAATGTAACCAAAAGCGACAGTTTTCTGCGTTTTATTGGAAGCGGTGTGCCAGGGCCCCAGCAATGCACGATGCTGTAACAATTATGCCTTTTAATGGGAATGAAATTAACTCCTGTCACTGGTACTGCTGAAAACTGGGAGATTTGCACACTGCTAATGTAAGTGGAACAGTAACCTCTGAAAAGAGACATTGTTATTAGCTGTACATCAGGTTTCACATAGATACAATGAAACAAAGAGAAAAAGATCAATGTGGCAAACTGCTGAGATACACCTTGACAGCCAGGACATAACAATAGAATTCTACACTTAAAGTGTGTGT